AACTTGGATATTGTTATGATAAAGGAATTGGAACTGAAGTTAATAAAACAAAAGCATTTGAATCATATAAAATGGCAGCTGAAAAGGGACATATTACCGCACAAAATAATCTTGATTTGTTGCATTTTAATATTAAAGAACTAGTCTTTGATGGCACAATAATTGATAAGACTGAAAATTAAATTTAGCATTATTATTGTCCGGAACGTGGCTGAGGACTATTTATTGTACGGAACTAGATAAATTTGTAGTACCGGTTTAACCCATGTATTTTTCCTATAATTTAACCCCTGCTTATTTCCTTTTATGTTTTGAATCACATTTTTTGTAAGCTTTATTTTTAGCAACACATTTTGTAACACTTCACATTTTTGTACAATGTAAGACGTTTCCGACTTTTTCCTAGTATAGCAACATATGATAAATAAACGTATTTTTAAATGTCTTCATATTTAATAAATGGTTTAAACAATGAATAATTTTGGTAAAATGAAAACGACTAACTAATAATAACAAATAAATGTGACACATCCAATCAGATCATCACAGATCATTGTGTTACACCTTTCCACAAACGAAGAAAAAAAGAGAAGAATGAAAGGGCAGTATTTTTTTTAAGGTATTATAATAATAAAAAAATTGTTTTATTACTTTTATAATAAGATTATTTAATAAATTATTCTTATTACAATTTTATTAATTTAATAAACAAATATAATATATAAATTTTAAAAATGGTAATTTTTAGTAAAAAACGCTTAAGTGTTCTATGAATATTTGAACCAGCTTGATAAAAATTAATATCTAAATAATTCCACGACTGCAGAATAAAATTACTTAATATTAAGCTTGTTTTATATAATGAAACCAACCATGTACGTAATACTACATAAAAATATTTATTTTGAGAATATTCAAGCTATCTTAATAAATTGATATTTGAGTGTTCCGTACATGCTGAACAACTTCATTCATTTACTAGCTAAAGTAATGAAATTACGCTATAAAATCGAAAAATAGTAAATGTAGAACAGTTAATTTAAATCTGTTTTTCGTGGTTTTGTTAAAATTTAAGAAAAGCTAATAATACATAGGTGTTTTTATATTTGTTCAATAATTCCACTTGGTTTCTTAAGACTTTGTTGTTTCGAGAGTTAATATTATAAAATCTATAAAAAACACGTAATTATGAGAAAAAGGCATTTACATGTATAATAATATTTTTTAATTACTTTAGCATTATTTTTGTTTTAGCAGATTTTTAAATATCGTTAAAATAGAAAAATATAAAGCCGATCACGTGTCGCCATACAAGTCAAGATCCAATCTGATATACATTTCGGACGTGCTTATAAATAGACTATATTGCAAAAGAAAAAAAAAATAACAAATGTTACAAATTTTACAAAAATAAAATTCAAGTATTTCAAATTTGAATCTAAAAGGAGTCTACAAAAAAATCCAGTATTCAATGCTAAATTGAAGCTAGTCACGGCCAGTTGAATCCTTCAAGAAGAAAGTGAATACCAGAGTCCAACTGAAAATCTAAAGGAAGGTTATTATAAAGTAAACCGAAACTAAAGTGGAAAATGAAAATTAAAATTCAACATACCTTACTTTATGAAGAATCCAGTTGGAACCTAAAGAAAATCAAGAAAATACTTTACTAAATATGGCTATTTTTTTTTGAAATACTTTTATAATATTCTTATTATACTTTCATAATACTGACATTATTTTGTAAGTATAAATACATAATTATGATCATACGTGGAGGGCGAAACCTTGATTAAAAAAAATTTTCGCATATTTATCAATCAAAATGCAAAGTCATAAACTACCTGTGATCTAATGATTAGATTTGATAATTTTATAATTTCAAATCTAGTGGTGATAAAACCATCTTTCTACAATTAATATGAAAATTATATCCAGTGATTGGATTTTGACGATTTTATACTATTTATTAATTTTTTTTTTCCAATATTTGATAATATTGTTTCTAATCTGAAGAATAAATATTTGTAATCATAATCACGCTATGAAATAAAAAAAAGTTTTTTTTGTTTGATTTATGCATCGATTCGAAAGGTTACACCATTTCAGCATAGCAGAAAATATAAGAGAAATATCAAACCGCGAAACCGACATACAAAATTGTTATCTATAACAATATTAAATAGGGTATATTTAAAAACAACAAGTGTCCAAAGCTGAGCTGCAGTATGATGTTAAATTAGTAAAAACCAGAATGGTAAATTACCATCTTACTGCGTATTTTTCTTGAGTATTTAAAAGTAGTTCGTACAGGTAGTTCATATTTTTAATTTAATTTCCTGAAAAAAAAAATCTAATTCTCACGAATAAAAATTTAATCAAATTATTTCTTTTAAACAATAACAAAAATAAATCTTGGTCATCATACAACGCTATAAGAAAAAATCATATAGTTTATTTTCTAAACATAATAGGAGGATTTTTTTTTCTTTTTTTGGTGAAAAATTAAATTTGATCAGGCGAAAAAATATAAGATGATCATTTATCAGCTTTGCTTGGCATATCTATTTTTGGTTTAGTTATAAATTGGAATGATAAAAATAATCTATTAATAAAAAATATTTTAACCTTAAAAAAAAAAATTCATTAATCATTTTCAGTGATCTGATAATTATAACCTTGATTACTCATGCTAAAAGTAACCTTTTTTTAATCAACTTTTTTTATATGAATACTTCCTGTTCAGCGGTGGCAAGAGGGGTCGTTAGGCCAAGTATCGAGACGTACAGTATTGTCTTTAATTTAAACTTTTCCTTTTTCATATTCAAATCTGGTGTAATAGTTACATTCTTAATAAAATACGATGAATAAAATTTTAATAAGGGATTACTATTTAACACATTTGTTAATCGTTAAAATTGAAATTTATAAAATTATAATAAATAAACCGATATTAATAAATATACAAGTAAAGGTGATAATACAATTTATTACACTATAATTAAATTTGACTTCTTCTTAATTTATTCATATAAAAGGAATTCTAAGTGATAATATTTTCTTAAATATAACGATATAAAATAGTTAATATTATTTTATTTCAATTATTGAATTTTTGGATATTGAAATTTTAAACGAACAATATTATGGTTTTATAATTGAATTTATGATAATGTTCCTTATGCAAAAATCTTTTGCGCTTATGGTATTTTTATTATTCTCTTTACGGTGAAACCTGAGATAAGTATAGTGAATTAGTGTTTTTACAAATATATAATGTCGTTAAATATTGCTCAAGTCACATAAATAAAAAAAAAACAAAATAATGCACTTAAAAAAATTTGCATACGTTTTACTAGGTATTTATTTCTTCATATAAAATTTAAAAAATTGATATAGGCGTTACGGTTACTTGTATTTTTTTTATATGCTTGTTTTAACTTGACACCGTTGATGGATGAAATTATCCTTCATGCAAAGATGAAACTAGATCATTTTCTCATATTTGGATGTATAGAAATATTATTTTTAGTCAAAAGATAGAACTTGTTCGATTTGATTCGGTCCTTTCTGCACGTGATTTATCGCATGAATCTACGAACTCATCGAGGTCTAGGTTATTATTAGTCTATTTTAAGTACAACTCGTATTATACAGTGTGAAACTTGGTAGCCAACTGTATCACGTGGTTAATTTCGAATGAAAAAAAAGAAAAGTGTAATTTTAAAATTTAATATCTATATTCCCGTAAATAAATTTTTAATTTTCTAAAAAAACAAACAAATCTCGTCCCAATGCTTTAAAATTATTTTGATTATTTTGATCTAATATGACTAAATACTATTTATAATCATTTAAATTTACATAATACTATTAAAGTATAAATTATGTGATGTTTTTTAGTATTAAAATACAAATAAAATAAATTGTTAATTAATACTTGTTCTAGCTCTATGTAGCGAAGTCATACAATTTCGAGTACTTAATATTAATATTTTTTTTGTGTTAACATTTAAGTAAATTTTATATATAATATCATGATGATTTAAAGTTTCATACGTTAATCATAAAAAGAGAAACAAAAACATTATTATTATTTAAAAGAGAAGAGAAGAAGCGAAAGTGAAAAAGAAGTACTACATAAATAAAAGATTTAGTTCATCAGATAAAGCTATCTTCAAAGATAAAATAATTAGTAGTTATCGACTATAAAATTTACGGTAATGATGCAAAAGTTCGTTATACTAAAAAAAATAAAATTTCTTCCATTGTCACATTTTCGAATTTCATAAGTTTCATTGACAATTGAACATAAAATTAAATTGTACTAAAACGGAAAGTCGTTTCAAAAAAAATCTTTTGATATAATCATGTTGCATGATATTTTTTTGAACATTTTTTTATATTTCTCCTTTTACATAAAAATTTCCGTTTATACTGGATACCTAAATAGAGTTTCGTTAATTACAGAAAATTTTATTCATTTTGACAATTTTATAGTGATTTAAATTGACTTTTGCTTTGCGTTAAATAAATATTCAAATTAAATAAATTAAATCATGTGATTTTATATACTTATTGATTAAGATTTTTTAGAATCATTGCAAATTTCATAATGATGCTTTTTTCTTCTGACGTATTTAATTGAAATTTTGACAGAAACAATAAAAAAAAACGCTTCTACTTGTATAATAATCTTTAAAACTATATTGTCTGAGAACTTTTTATTTAATCCTTGCAAGCAAAAATTTTACAAAATCACTTATAAATAATATTTAGTATACATGATATACCATGTTAAATCTTTGGAAAATATTTATCATTGTGTGGCGCATGTGTGGCGCAGTCGCTACGTTACACCGGATGTACGTTTTAACTCTGCATAGTAAAGGTCAAATTTACTTCTGATGTTCATACCATAAAAGTTTAAATCGAGTATGTATTATAACGTAATGGAATATTTTAAAAATAGCACAAGAAAGTTACACATGCATTTTGTTCATGCACTTATTAGGACCTCGGTTTACAAAAAAACTCCGAAAAAATTATTTTTCAAAGAATGTCAAAAGAAATGAAAGAAACCGACCTTAAAGAATCAAATTATTATATCGATTGGTTAGAAAAATCGATTGCAAATGAATATCTTAATTATTATGAATATTCTGAATTTAAAAACCTAAAACCTTTAGGAAGTGGTTCATATGGAAGTGTCGTTCGTGTTAATTGGAAAAATGCTTTATTCGCTCTAAAAACTTTTAATAATGATAAAATAACGCTTAAAGAAGTCGTTAATGAGGTATATTATATATATAAAAGTATGGTCTTAAATTTTAATAAATTTAAACTTAAAAATAAAATTTATTAAATTTTTTACAGATAATATTACAAAAAAAGGTAGATTTTCACGAAAATATTTTACGTCTCTGTGGCATTACAAAGATAGAAGCTGGTAAAGTATTTAACATGTATTATGTAATTGGACTTAAGTTATATATAATTACTTATTGCTTTTTATACTTTATTTAGAAAAAAAATATTCGTTAGTTTTAGAATATGCCGATAATGGTACATTAAAAACTTACTTGAACGAGGAATTTAATGAACTCGTTTGGAATGATAAATATCAGTTATCATTTCAATTAGCTAGCGCAGTAGCATTTTTACATGAAAATGACATTATTCATCGTGATCTGGTATAGTTGATTTTTTAAAAACTTTTTTTATTTCTTTTTAATAAAATGTGTTGAATAAATTTTTTCATATATTTATAGCACGCAGATAATGTACTTGTACATCAGAAAAAGATCAAGCTGGCAGACTTCGGCTTGTCAAAAAAGATCGCTAAAGCATCAAGTAATAGATCACAAATATGTGGTATAATACCTTTTGTTGACCCAAGAAGCTTAAATGATCATGATTACAAGTTAAACGAAAAATCTGATGTATATAGTATTGGAGTATTAATGTGGCAAATTTCAAGTGGAATTCGACCATTTTCTGATTTAAATTATGACGCAGGTTTAATGTTGTCTATAGTAAATGGTAAACGAGAAGAAATTATCGATAATACTCCTATCGAATATAGTAACTTATATTCAGGTAATGCACAATATTTGGATTCAAACGAGAGTGTATTAATAATACTAATAATTTATTTTAATAACTAGAATGCTGGAAAGATGAACCAGATGAACGTCCGTATATGCAAGAAGTTGTTTTAGCTCTTAAATCAATAATTTTTCCCGATCAATACTGTGTAAATAATCATTGTAATGATGATCCATTGCAAGAATCTTTAGATATAAGTGGTAATTCAAATATGAATGATAATCAAGATATAAATGACGATTCTTCAGATGTAAATGATGATTTAGATATAAATGATTTTTCAGATATTATACCAAATAATATTGGCAATTTACAAGATCAAGCATCTATTAAATCAGTGCGAGTAATGAGATTTAAAAGTAATCAATCTAGCACATCAATTCAGACGGATTTGTCAAAAGATTCATCTGATTCAAAATTTGATATTATTAATTATTCATTCATTGACAAATTAATTACATTTATTATTAAAAAACATGATAAAGGTTATACTTTTGATCAAATTCAACAATTACTTGATCAAATAACATTGCAATTTGATCAAATTACAAATAATCTTATTATTAATTGGCTTACAAAAAATCAAGATAAATCAGCATATATATGGCTTTTTGGACTACTTTATTATTATGGCATTGGAATAGAAGAAAATGACAATAAATCATTTGAATTATTTTTAAAAGCAGCAGAAAATAACTATTCAATAGCACAAGTCTATCTTGCTAAATGTTATGATGATGGATATGGAACTGAAGTAAATAAAAATCTAGCATTCAATTGGTATCAAAAAGCTGTAGAAAATAGAAGTATTGTTGGACAATTTTATTTAGGATATTGCTATGAATTTAATATTGGAACTAAGAATAATAAAAATAAATTTATTGAATGGTATCAAAAAGCAGCTGATAATGGAAATACAACTGCAAAACTTTATTTAGCAAATTGTTACAGATTAGGAAAAGGGATAAAAAAAAATGAATCTAAAGCATTTGAATATTATAAAATATTAGCAGAAAAGAAATCACAGATGCTCAATATCAACTTGGAAATTGTTATCATTATGGAATTGGAACAGAAATTGATAAAAATCAAGCTTTTAATTGGTATAAAAAGGCAGCAATTAATGGAAATATTGTTGCAATATATATTCTTGAACAAAATTATAATAAAAAATTTAATACTAAAAAAAATAAAAGTATGAATATTAAAATTCATAAAGTAATATATTTTGAGGGATTAATATTTGTTGGAGAGAGCAATTATTTTGGTGTCGGAATGAAACAGAATTATAAAAAAGCATTTTATTATTTCCAAAAAGCAGCAAAAGGTGGAAATAATTTTGCACAATATTGTTTAGGTTATTGCTATGAAAATGGTAAAGGTGTGAAAAAAAATAATAGAAAAGCTTTTCAATTATATTAAAAATCGGCTGAGCAAGGGCATTCTTATGCTCAATTAGAACTTGGATATTGCTATTCTTTTGGAATTGGAACTGAAATTAATAATTCAAAAGCATTTGATTTATATAAATTAGCAGCAGAAAAAGGTCATTTATATGCTCAATATTTACTTGGAATTTGTTATAATATTGGAATTGGAACTGAAATTGATAATTCAAAAGCATTTGAATTATATAAAATAGCAGCAGAAAAAAGTCATTTGGATGCACTATATCAACTTGGATATTGTTATGATAAAGGAATTGGAACTGAAATTAATAAAACAAAAGCATTTGAAATATATATAACAGCAGCAGATAAAAACCATTTAGATGCTCAATATCAACTTGGACGTTGTTATAATGAAGGAATTGGAACTGGAGTTAATAAAACAAAAGCATTTGAAATATATATAACAGCAGCAGATAAAAACCATTTAGATGCTCAATATCAACTTGGAAATTGTTATTATGAAGGAATTGGAACTGAAATTGACAAAACAAAAGCATTTAAATTATATGAAATAGCAGCAGAAAAAGGTTATTTGAAAGCACAATATCAACTTGGAAATTGTTATTATGAAGGAATTGGAACTGAAATTGACAAAACAAAAGCATTTAAGTTATATGAAATAGTAGCAGAAAAAGGACATATTATTGCACAAAATAAACTTGAATTTTTATATGTAAGTTGTGAAGCTATAGAAAAGGATTTATAAGTTATTGGATGGTATACAGTAATAGCCAGAGGTACTGTCATATTGATAATAAGACATGAGACCCACCACCAAAGAGAAGGACCCACATACACTCAGAAGTCTGCGACATAGCTTGAGATTATTATTTTTTTATTAAGGTAACCAGACTTCTAAAAAAAAGGAGAATAATCAAAGAGAAATTTTATTTAATAAATAGAAATCTTACCACTATTTTACTGCTTCACAATGTTGCTAAAAAGACATAAAAAAAGTTTGATAAACTTGTTTACTTTTATTAACATTTATAAGCTACACTAGATAAATCAGAAATAATAAGTTATAAATGATAATTAGTTTTTGATAAAAATCTATATTTTCAAAAAAAGTGCCCAATGTAATAATTATTTCATTTTTTTTTTCGCCTTAATCAAAAAAAAGCATAATTACATAAAATATATAAATCTTGTCATTATTTATTGTATATTCCTAAAATATACGTGCCTAATCAAATTCGTTATAATAATTATACATTTTTAAAAAATCTTTAAAGTAGAATGTAAAAAAGAGATCTTTTTTTTTGTGATCATCCATCATGCAGGTCTATTCGTTACACATTCTACAAGAAATGTTATTTATTTCCCAAAAATGTATTAATCGTGAAAGAATCAAGCTATAATATATACTTTTTACTTAAGCGTACGTAATATATGAGCCACCATAGCTTTGGGATATTTGTATGTATACTGTATAGGACCATAATTTCATGGAGATGTAAATGTTAGTCCAAATTTTTTCTCATAAAGAATTTTTTCTAGTCAAATTTATTTGGGAAATTTTTTATTAACGGTTAGTTATTGGCAAGGATTGAATTAATTAATTTATTATTTATGTGAAATCGGATGATTCCAACCTTTATAGGCTAAACTGCGAAAACTAAATGGTTTAACAGGCTAATTATAAGAAAAAAAAATAGATAAATATTTACAATTAGTAATTTTGCTGAACTGATATAACATATTTTTTATGATTTCATCTGTAATCAAATTTTAATTTTTGCTTTTGGAGTTCAGTATTAATCTGCACTTTCAGAATTGATTTTGCTTTCTTGTAATTTAAGACATTAAACTCAAATTATCTCACTCTCTCTATAGCAGTATAAAGTAAAAAATTCCACGTTGATCAAAATATAACAGAGTCTTATGTAGAACTGACAATCTTAATGCCAGCATTAATGAATTCCCATGTAGATAGCCGCCTCAACTATCGGGTTGACATTGTAATAAAATCCTTCTACTTTCAAATACCACATTATACAGTGAAATTTTCATAATAACAGTATTATTTTTGCTATTTCGTATTATATAATCTTTACCATCTTTTATTATCTGGTGCATAAATTTGGTCATTCATTCTAAATAGTTCTCGTACTCCATCGGAATATAATCTTTTTATAAAAGATGAAAACTAATAAAACGAATGAGACTTTTTAAAATAAAGTGTTAATATAAAAAAGATAGTTTTTATTACATATTTTATCTTTATGTAGATTATAGTAATTAAATTTTAAAGACATATATTTATGGTAATATAGTTTAAAAAAACATTTGCTTGGTTGTACATACATCAATAACTTGTTATTAAAAGTTACCATTTTCTGTTTACTGTATGTCCAAGTTTGGTTGTTTCATAAAATATGATGTCAGTTATTAATACAATTACAAAAGAAAAGCAAATTTGTTAATATCAACAACGCAAAAAAAAAAATAAAAACAAAAAAGGTGATTGGTCATAGCGATCGTTATCTAAATATATGTTTTTATTTCTTTGTCTAAATACCCTAATTAAAAAAAATTTGTTTAATAAATTTTAATTCATCGTAATTTATTAATAAATGTTAAAATTGAAATTTATGAATTAAATAAAATGAATTGATAAAAAAAATGAGATAATAATTAATAAGTAGGTAAAGGTGATTATATAATTTATAATATACTATAATTTGTTGTATTAAATTCGACTTCCTTTAATTTATTTATATAATGAGAATTCGAAGTGATAATTTTTTTCTTAAGACAACGATATAAATAGTGACTTAAAATAAAATAATGATATACCGAATTTACTAATTAAACTATTGAAATTCTTGGATATTGAAATTTTAAACGAATAATATTATGATTTTATAATATCATTTTTATGATATTGGTCCTTATGCAAAATCTTGCTCGCTCATATGATGTTTTATATTATTCTCCTTGGAAATAAAAGAAAAGGATAGGACTCTGGAACCAAATACTTCACCTGAAGTAATAAAGAATTATAGTGAATTAATATTTTTATTATTTTACAAAATATCTAATGTCGTAAACAAAGTAACGCATTTAAAAAATTTGCATTATATATAATTTAAAAAATTGATGCAGACTTACGGTCATTTGTTTTTTTGCAAAAATATTCTTAAATTATAATAACATGACACCATTTATGGATGAAATCATCCTTCATGTAAAGATTAACCTGAATCATTTGTGTAGAACAAATTCAGTATCTTAATTGATTCCTTTCTGCACGTGATTTATCACATGAATTTTTATGGTCTTGTGACCGTATTGATAATTTTAATTTCGTTGTTTTAAATTATCACTAAATATTTTATTAGTGTTTAAATAAACAATGATAAATTATTATTATGACAATTTTTAATAGTTAAAATATAATTAATTTGGAATTGTTTAAATCATTAATAATTATTCCACTATCTATCAATCATTCAAAGTGTTTTTTTTCTTGATATTCTCACGTATGATATATATTAAAAAAATTGGATAAAAAAATTTATCATTATTGAATAAAAAGTTTATCATTTATATTAGAATAAAGTCTATTGTTAGTTAAAAGGATATATTAATAGTTTTATGGTCAGAATAGTAAAAGTTATTTCAAGGCTGCGCGGTGAAAAATCATTGATAACTATGGGAATAGAGATATCGGTCGAAGACCGGTATTAACTGAGTTGTAATTCGGTCATTAGAATACTGCGGTGACCAATAGGAATTAATGCTACTAATACCGATTTCAATATCGGATGTCTCATAAAAATATCGGTCAGTAAAATTCAGTAAAATCCTTCCTAATCGATTGAATAAATTCGTATCGTGCATCACCTCTTAATTAGTATTTATAAGTCAATCTTACAGTCTTACATGATGTAATTGATTGCAATGATGTCATAATGTTTGTTTAAATAATAAATATTCAATTTTTTTAAATAATAATAATAATAATGATAATAAATTTTTTTAAATAAAAAAATTCCCAAGAAAAATATATTTTTTTTTTTTTTAATTTGTCATTTCTTAATCGTTATAACTAATATGAGATTCCAATTTTCAAACACTTTAATATCATCAGTAGATATATTACAAAATGTTATTTTACGTTTAAGTACTGGTAATATTTCGCAAAAAAAAAGCAGGGAACGATTAATTGAAGAACATCAGAAATTAGAGTAACTTGATGATAAAAATAAATGTGGTTTATAACTCTTGCAATCAACCCAATTTAAGTTTAAATCTTCAACATCGGATATCCATAGCAAATTTACAAATTGATTATAAATTCACCGAAAAATTTTTGTTATGTCGAGTGATAACCAAATTTATAAAACTAGACGCTCTTTTAGCTCTTGTGGAAGATCCAGAGGGTAATGTGGAAAGACTTGCTTTGTACAATTGGACAAGTCTACCAAAAAACAAGGAAGATCAGATGGCTTGTCGATCTATTGATCAATCATTTTTACCAGTAGGCACCAAACTCGTTATCAAAAACCTATCATATGAAATTGCTGGCGATAAGAACACTATAATTAATTCAATTAATCCTGAAGATATTATTATCATTGATCGTAATAATGACAAGTTATTTGGTGACTTAATATGGTCTTCCGATATATTGGATAAGAAAAAAATTAAATGAAAGACCGCTGATGAATTCCGCCGTCATGGGAATGATTATTTTGCTTCAAAGAATTACACGGCAGCTATTGATGAGTATTCAAATGGCATAAAATTGAAACCACAAAATGTCACATTGTTCGCTAATCGAGCAGAGGCATATCTGCAATTATTTCAATTTCATAATGCTCGAAATGATGCAGAAGTTGTTCTTAAATATGATCCTAGTCATTTATAAGCAGCTTATCGCAAAGGTAAAGCTCTTTGTGGTCTTAAACGTTATAAAGAAGCCATTATTACACTTCAAAATTTGTATCAAAGTACAAAATCCAATAAAGATGATAGTATTTCTTCGATTAAGCAGAATTACTGAAACATGCGGAAATTTTAGATTCTGAAAATGAAAATGGGCAATATGATTATATAAGTATTATCGATGAGTGTTGTGAAAGAGCTAAAATTAGAAAAGATAGTAAAGGCAATGACGAATGGGTTTATGAAATAGGAGCAAGATTGGATCATGCTGATTTTTTATGTGAAGATATTGAAATTCGTTTGGTAGAAGGAAAAGGAAGAGGATAGATTGCAAAACGAGATATTCCTGAAAATACTTTATTGATAGTCTCTAAGGCATTTAGTATAGTATATAGCCATGAAGTCCTTGGGTACTCTATGAAGATTAATATTCAAAATGATCAGACCTTATCTTTATGTAGTGTGGAATTAATACACCGCATTACGCAGAAACTTCTGGAAGAACCTTATCATCGTCAAGAAGTGTACAAACTTTACAATAGCTTAAATTTAGATAAAACTAACATGAACCTGGCAAATGTTGATATAATTGGAAATATTGTCGGTCTTAATTCTTTTGAATTGAATAACATTATAGTTGGAAATTCTAGTTTGAGTGGTGAAGGATTATGGATTTTGCCATCTTATTTTAATCATTCATGTATTGATGAAAATGGTACACAATATATTCTTGGAGATTTAATGTTTATACGATCTCTTAGACCTATTTTACAAGGCGAGGAACTACTTGTTAATTACAGAAGTGGTGAAAGCAACAATGAGATACGATTAATGCTTCTTAAATCAATGGGTATAGATTGTCAATGTCGACTTTGTAAGTTGGATAAATCTGAAACACCAGAGACGACACATAAAAGAGCACAATTACTTAATACTGTCGAAAAATTACTCAAACTTGTAACAAATGAACCTGAACCTGAACCTTCTCTTATTAAAAAATTAGAAAAGACGATTTTTGAATTACACAATCTTAGAAAAGAACATCCAGAACTTGAATTTGATACATTAGAACCAAATAGAATTATATCACTTGCTTATCGTAAAAATGGAAACTTAAGAAAGGCACTTTCTATCCTAAAAGGGGTATACAATTCATATAAAAATGTTTATCTGAAAAACATTAATTGGATTGTCCTTGATATCGTATCATTATGCACTGATCTCAAGCAGATGGAAGAAGCAAGAAAATGGGTTGACATATTATTGAAGGGTTCGGTAGAACCTTTATTAGGAAAATTTAAGGATGAAGATAAATGGAAAAAAGAAGCACTTTATTTGATGGAAAAAAAGAAACTGATCCGTTTATGAATTTGACTATTAAAAGGTTGTATAATATAATAAAGAAAAATAGTTTATAAGTAATAATTAACAACAAATAGTAAATTAGTAACAACAGTATATAAGCAGTAATCTAAATAAATAAATGCAATTTGAAATTTAGCAAGTATTATTAGTGCTTACTTAATTGCTTAAGTGGCTTTTCATATTTTTAAATAATCGTGACGTTTTATTATGAAAAATCACGAAATTAGATGATGAATTGACAATTTGGAGAATACTGTATATATTTTTCCTATTTAAGGCAATCAGGAAGGCTTGTATGATTAAAATAATAATATTTGGTAAGGTCAATGAATTTTTGGTATGATAATATGATTCTCTTGTAATAGACTTGCGAAAATTATGATTAATATTTTTCAATAATTTTTTACGCTTGTTTCACCTACACTTTAAAACATTAATTTTTGCAAAATAATTTATGTAGCTGTTTATGTAAAATGTTATTAAGACTGGATCGTTTAATGTTAGCAGCTAGCCAATATTAAAATTTACACCAATAAAATATTTCTGGAAATGAATCAATAGCAATTTAACATGATGTCTTTATCAGTTACATGTTTTTTAATGAAAAATAAATTTATATAATTTTTATTAAGGCTGGTATATTTAATTTTAATTATATGTGACAAGTGGCACGCGTCAGGACGTCAGGTGTTAATCTATATTTACTATCACTTGACGTTGAGTGACGATAAAAATATATCGATTTACAAATATTATTAAATTTGATATAAATTATCCTATATTTGACGATAAAAACATTTTAAGAGTTTAACACCAATGTTAATTAAAGAGAAAAAAGGAGTTTATTTCTTCAAGTGATATTTTAATTATTAATATAATATTATATTTAAATATTTTGTTGAATAAATCCTTAAATAATTGAATTGTATAGTATTATTATCTGATTCATAATCCTTATCAAATTTTTTTTCTTTAAGACCTTTTCGATCTATTTATATTATTCATTAACTTTATTGTTTTGTGATTTCTTTTTTCTAAATTATACCTTATTAAAAATAAATTGTTTATATTAAAGGAACAAATATATCATCGGTTTATATTACAAATGTTCATCCATTAAACCATGTTGTGTTGGACTTTTTCATATAATTTCATGCAACTTATTAATTTGTTTATTTTATTTCATTTGTTTATTTTCCCTTACCTAATTTGTTATTTAAAATGCAGGTCTTGTTATATGTTAAATTTTTTATGAATATTCTCAGAATAAGCGAATATTGAACTATTATAGAAGGGTGTGACGCATCGCAATAACTAATTTTAACCCAACCCACTATGTCATCAAACGTAACAAATGCAAATTCCCTATTTTAATTTCCAAAAAAAATGTTGTGATGTACAAACATATAGAATATAGCTATATAATTTTAACTTTATAAAATTTCTGAAAAGAATTCTGTGATCAATTTTCAAAAAATAATTTCACCAAACTTTCTAAAAGCAATTATTTGCTAAGTTAAGTAGTTAACGTAACACAAAATAACCTTTAAAGTTTATTTGATAGCTTTAAGACTTAGAAAAATGATTATCTAATATAAATGACACTACCGTATTAGGAAAGTTATATACTCACTTTTTTATTCACCAAGATAGAAACAAAATAAACAAAAAAAAAAAAAATAAAAAAA